GCCAGATTATTATGACCACCTGATGTTTGTAGGCAAATTAGCTATAATTTCAAGCTGAAGTTGCTAGAGGGCCAGACCACTATAAATAGGGAAGCAAATTGTTTAGCACGACAGTAGAAGTTATTTTTTTTCTGAAGATATGGGTAAACAACGCAATTTAACAGCCTTTGAACATGGGGGATATATATATAGATCTCCATGTATGTGTACTAATTTTTCAAAAGTATAGGCCTAACAAGTTAAAGCCATTGTTTTAATGTCTTTTAAAAACATTTTAATTGCTCGTAGACCTTCAAAATGATTTTTTATAGATTTATTATATTTTAGTGGGGTTTTTGGTAGAAATTTTTCTTTTTCATTAAATATCTGAAGGGCAGAAAAGGCAATTACATATTTGAGCCACCCATCCATATATATCCTGTGCCTTCTTAGTTTTTTTTAATGAAAACTGATTGGGCATTTTACTATAAACTTATGTATTAATATATCTTTCATAATTAACACAACGGAAATTTTGCTCTACGAAAATCTATGTTTTTAAAGTAATCATGTAATATTACATGGAATGTAATAATTTGTGAAATGAATCAATAAGTGCATTTTTCACCTGTTTTAATTGTAAAATACATATAACAAAAGTTACCATCTTAACCATTTTTAAGTACATTGTTCAGTGGTTATTAAATACGCCCATATTGCTGTGCAACCATCACCACTATTTATCTCCGTAACTCTTTCATCTCATAAAACTGAAACACTATACCCATCTACATATATAAAAGCCTAAGCGACTGGCCGACCAGCCGGGAGCTATGATGCTAACTGACCACCAGGGGGCAGATGCTCAACGCAGGAGCGGAAACCACAAGCATGGAAACATGGAATAGACTGATGAATCTCAGAGGGAAGGGGGGAGGGCAGGAAGAGATTAACCAAAGATCTTATATGCGTACTAGAACCCCAGTATTCATGCACTGGCGGGTCCATCAGCCTGGCCTGTGGGAATTGGGCCGAAACCGACTCTCCAACATCCCCTGAGGGGTCCCAGATTGCAAGAGGGCACGGGCCAGGCCAAGGGACCTCACCAGTGCACAAATCTGTAACAAAAGCTGGCCGACCAACCAACCAGCTGACCAGCCAACTAGCGGGTAGTTGCGTAATGATCACTAG